GCCATGCGTTGAGGTGAGGCCAACTATTTCTAGTCGGAACCTCTCAGCCTCGCACACTAGCTCCGGTTCCTTCCCCACCAGAGAAGTGACGTTCCATGTCCCAAGAGCCAGCTTCTGCAGTCGAGGGTCAGACTGCCCGGGTCCCCTCCTTCGGCCGCCGCCCATTACACACTGCACCCGACCCCTTTGGCCCTTCCTACAGGTGGTGAGCCCATTGGAAGGGGGACCCACGTCTCTTCTTCGGGCCGAGCCCAGCCGGGCTATGTGGGTGAAAGCCCAGCCACCAGGCGCTCGTCATCGTGCCCCACCTCCAGGCCTGGCTCCAGAGGGGGGCCCCGGTGACCCGCGTCCGGGCGAGGGAACGCCAGATCCAAAGTTTTCGTAAATCATAAGGGGTCTTCGGGCTGCGCTTTGTCTGGTTCCTCACCTAGGACCTGTCTGCCTTGGGTGACCCTACCAGGGGCATAAAGCCCCAGACAGCATAGCTCCTAGGATCATTGGGACACTCAAACCCCTCCACCACGATAAGGTAGCAGCCCAAGGAGAGGATAATAGGTATTTGTTTATTGATATTTATTTGTCCTTTATTAACAGTTATTTGTCAACTACTAACAGTTATTTTTTGTTTTTTAACAGTTATTTATTCAATCCTTTTTGTCAACTATTAATTATTTGTTTATTAACATTGGTTTGTCATCTTTCAGCAGGTATTTGTCATTTATTGCAAGTCATTTATCAAATATTGCTAGTTATTTGTTGTTCGTTTTCAGTTTTTTTGTTGTTATTTTAAGAAGTAACTGTGGTTTGTATCTCATCAATTAACATTTATTTGTTAACAGGTGTTTGTAATTTATTAACAGTTATTTGTGGTTTATTAACCACAAATAACTAATTAGTTATTAAGTTATTTAGAGACAAACATAAAAGCTACACTAACTAAAAAAAAAAGGAAAATAAATTCCAGCTAATTTCAGTAGTACTTAAGAAGCTGTGTTAATTTCTTTGTAATTGTAATGTTTATTTAGCMAAAGGGAGAAATGTTATTTGTTGGTCTACAACTCAAAACGCTCGTTTTCGCGTTTTAACCTTTCTGTCCTCTCAAGGCCGCCGTAGGAAACTGTTATCTGGTTTTAGTGCCGCCTCCTGCTTTAAAACCTTTAAATAGAAAATATAAAGATGTATCAGACAGTTCTCCGGTTATTGAAGCCACAGCTCAGTCATTTAATTAAAAATAAAATTTCTGTTTCGGTGGTGTAACATGGTGGTGAGTTCAATGTCTCCGCTCCGCTGTAGGAAAATGGAGATTCTGTCTGCGCTGTTTCTGTTCATCATTATTGTGAAAGTTGATGTGACAGAAGAAGTGAAGGTACCGGGGCAGAGACGGGTCACACTGGCCGAAGAAGACGAGTCCCCCTGGGTTGACCCCAGAAAACCCCCCAGTCCTCAGCCTGGAGCCGGACCGGAGCCTGGCGATGCTGCGTCCGGGTTCACGGTCCCAACTCTGGACGGGAAGTTCTCCTACAAGCCCGGAGCCCTGAAAGGCTCTCTGCTCCTCCACGCCTTCACCAACAAGTCCGCGTTCCTGGAGTGCCTGTGGAGCTCCGAGGCGTCCCTGACCAGTCTGGTTGAAGGTCTCCCGGACAGTTCTCAGGTTCTGGTTCTGTCCCAAGACGACTCGGCGCTCAGCGATGTTCTGTGGATGAGAGAGCAGCTGCAGCGGGTCGCGATGCGCAGGTGACCGGGGAGGGAGCGCTGATCCGCGGGGGGTCAGGAGCTGCTCACCTGGGGAAAAATGTTCATGTAGAAGCTAAAATAATCGAAACTAAAGCTAAAATAACTATAATAACAGCTAAAATTACAAGAACACAGCTAAAATAACTATAATAACAGCTAAAATTACAAGAACACAGCTAAAACAGCCATGGATGACTAAAGGGTTGAGAAATGCTTGCAAAAAAAAGAATAATTTATATTCATGCTTTTTGCAAACAAGAACAAAAGAATCAGAAGAGAAGTACAAGAAATATAAAAACAAGCTAGTATGGATTATAAGAAAGCACAAGAAACAATACTACAGTGATTTATTAAATGAAAGTAAAAGTGACATAAAGACAACATGGAAAGTAATGAATACTGTTTTGAAAAACAAAGCAAATTCAAGCATTTCACAATACTTTGTTGAAGATGACAATGAAATTTATGATCAAAACGAAATTGTAAATGGATTTAATAATTATTTTATGAATGTAGGCCCAAGTCTTGCAGTTCAAATACCAAAGGTTGAAAATAATGTAAGTCATACAGTCATGAGTTGTACCAACAGTATTTTTCTTAAGGAAACTGAC